GTTCCTCGTTCTGTTTGGGTGGCATTTTGTCGGGTCTCGTTGCTAGCCGGTTGTATGCTGAGGGAGAATCTTTTATGTGATTTTTTTTTTTCTTTTAACATCTGACGTGACACCGAACGCGTGAGCTGGGGCTCGGGACTGCTGCAGGCGCTTTCGAGTGCCTCGTTGCTGCAGCATGGAAAAAACCCCGGATGAGCCGGCGGAATACGTTCCAGTCGCCGGAGCCTTTCAGCAGATGCTCACGGCTCAAAATTGTAGTTCAACGTAGGCGTTAAGAAAAATGCAAAACTAGTTTGCGATTGCCTCAGCAGATATACGTGACGATTTTTTTACGTCATTCGAAATAATGCAGGTTGGTTAGCAACACTCTTGTTGTTGGCGATTTGTCAACTTTGCAAGGCATTTCTTTTCACTTGATGATCTCGAATGTACATAATTACATCACAGACTGTAATGTACACAGTCGACACTCCCAATGTACGAATTTCTATCCCACTGAGGGTTCTTTACGCCTCCATTGTAGGACATTTATCCGTGAGGACCGCGTGTGCGTGTACACCACGAGAGCGCGGCACCACCGGGAGTGAAACTTTTGGGTCACGCTGACAGTCGGCGACCAGCCTGACATTGCGTGCGTCCGCTCGGTGGACTTAAAAGCGGCGTTTGATGCGCGCTTAGAAAAAAAAAAAAGCTGTCAGCACTCCCGCCGCACTTTAGTGAGGAGTTATGAGCTCATTGCGTCGCCGCTTCGAGCCGGCCGGCGAGAGTCAAAACAAAGTCAAAATGTTCAATAGGCGAGCGGGCTGGAAAAGTTCCACAGGAGAGGAAGGCGGACTCACCTTGCACAATACAAAAGATCCGAACAGCTTGAAATATTGTTGTCGGTCCGGATATGCCCGGAACGCCTCACCGGGGGAGGCGTCCAGGAAGCATCGTAATCTGATGCCCGAGCCACCTCATCTTCACAGATTTTCATTGACAAACGAAGGACTTCGGCAAATGTGCAGCGTTGCGTGAACTCCAACTAAGAGTGACTAACGAAAAGTCTGAAGCGAGCACCCTGTCAGGTGAAGAACTGTACCAGTGAGGTCTTCTTTTTTTAGTGATGTTATACGACAGTCCCGCATTTACTGAAAACAAGAGCGTGACAATCGGCGAGGACGAAGGCATACTTCAAAAAGTAGCCCAAAAGAAATGCTCTGAAATGTTAAATGCTTTTCTGTTGGTATGAACTTTTTTTCTTTCTTTTAAATTTTTTTTTTTTTTGTGGACCAGGGCAAGGAGAAAAACGCACTGGCTTGAACGCTTTAGGGTGCCTCGTTGTTGGCTCTGAGTGCTTTCGCGTCGTGCAAAGAAACATGGAAGAGCGATGAGGGAGAATCTTTTTTTTTCTTTCAACATCCGACTTGACCGCCAACGTGTGAACTGGGACGACGACCTTCTGTAGGCGCTTTAGAGTGCCACATTGTTGCAGCGCGGAAAAGATCCAAGGTGAGTCTGTCCACGAGACACAAGAAAAGGGAATTTGCGCCCCCCTAGTGCCGTCGCCGTGTGTCGAAAAGACGTAGGGTGGCTGTTTCTCGGGGGGCTGACGGAATTGTCAAAGTTATTTATCGTAAACATGGAGAGGAAAAGGTCAACGCCATCAAGTACACAATTGCAAAAAAAACAAAGAAAAAAAGAGCAAATTATTTTTTGTGAAATGACTTCTCCTATGTTGTTATTTTATGGGGGAAGGTGGCCATCGGGGGGGGGGGTCAAGTTACAATTGGAAATTGTCACCAACCTCTCGTGTGACCATCAGGTCTTGAATGAGCCCTTTTAATTTTCCTCACAACTGCCACCTTGCACAAAAACAAAAACGATGTCAAATCTTCAGCAAATAACAAGGGGGGGGGGGTGAACACGGTGCAAGTCGTGGGACCATGACGAGACTTCCTTTTCAACTTCCGTTGCACTTATTGGGCGGGGGTGCGAAAGTGACGAAGACTGTTCCAGTCCGTCAAAGGTGTGTGCAGACGCGCACACGCATGCACACCCTTTCCAAGGACACCGTGCGTGCATGCGTGCACACGCGTGTGTAAAGATCACGCGTGTCAAAGCGGGCGAGTGACTTATTAAATGTCGCTCAGATCAATTCTTAATCACCCGTGTGTCCGTCCGTGTACAAACAGCTCTCTTAAAGCGCGCGCGCGCACGCACACACGCATCAACGTCATCCAAGCAAATTAGTCACGACAACGCGAGAGGAAATACAAGCAAGCGAGTAATTAGCACAAGGACGCCGAAATGTCGAGCTTGCTGCGCGTCACTGTTGAAATTCACGTCGCGATACCTTTTCACTTCGAAATCAACCCGAGGTGCGCGACTTGGCCAACGCCGCCGATTTTTGGAGAGTCTTCAAAAAAAGAAAAAAAAACTGACGTTTTTTGTTTTTTTGGTTCTTTTTTTTTTTTTTTCTCCACATTAAAGGTATTTGAAGTCACCATACAGACTGTCAAGAACGTTTTATTCTCGACATCAAAGACAATTTGGCCCCCCTCGAATAACTTGGAAGTCCAATCAGGAGCGAGAACATGATTCATGTTTTTGTGGGCGTGCCGAAAACGTGGACTCAATCTTTAGCAGCAAGCACACCCTCAAAGACGCGCGCGCACGCACGCATTGAAATGAGTGTCCTCTGCTGCCCGGCGTTATTGATCGCACTTAAAGAGCGGGGCTCCTGTCGGACGGCGCGAGGAAATCATTTCCGGATTGAAAGTGCCACAGCGAGCGTGCGTTTCATTTGCGCTTCCCGAGGACAAAGGCGACGCCACGTCGGGGGAATCAATCTTCTAACTTTGGCCGCACCGGCGCATTCCTCCGCTCCGGCGGTGGTGGCGCCGGCTAGCGCGCGCGTTAGCGCGGCCCGCCGCCACTTTCAAGTTTTTACGGCCGGATGAATTTGCCACATTTGTGCGCCATAAACTTGACGGCTTTACCGCCCGTATAGATTTAACTTTGTTGTCTTTGTGCACACTCGAATTCTTTCATTGGATTTGGAAAAGAGAGCCTGTTTTCATTTGAGCCACTCATGAAGCGAGCGGACTTTTTTATTTTTGTACACATCAAAGAAGAGAAATGTTGCATACTTGACTTGGTTAGCGTTCAAAGGCAGTTGACTCAAGATGATCAAAATCGGGCCTGTGCGTGTGTGTGTGTGTGTGGGGGGGGGGGTCCATGACAATCCCAATGTAAATGTGACATGAAGCATCAAAGACAATTGTTGAGTCGGCATCATTTGTTTTGTAAACGTCGGAATGGGCTCGGTTAACACTGCCAAAGACATGTTGCGGTCGGAGATTGAAAATGCGTTCGTATAAACATCAAAGACAATTTACAGTCTTGAATTCACCTAATGGGACATGTTTTTTCAAACGTTGAATAAACGTATGCTAACAAAGCTAGCATGCATTGTTTTGTGAGCATCAACGACAAGTGGAATCTTCAAGGAACATGGCGAAGACGCTTTAGAGTCTAAACTAAACAAGCTTGCATCTTTTAATAAATGCCCCAAACATTTTTGTCTTCACAAAAAAAAAACCCCGCCAATTTAGATTCTTTTTTTTTTTTTTTTTTTTTGCAAACAGGCACTTTTTAGTCTCTGTACAAATTAACATTGCTGAAAACAACAAAGGCAATTCAGAGTCAAGGTAATTATGATTATTATTATAATTTTTTTTTAACAAACACCAAAGCAATGTCGATGTTTCGATAAACCCAGATAATTTAGTCAATGTCCACGTACTTGTGTAAAAATCGAAGACAATTTAGATTCGATGTAAGTTTTTCTTTGTCTGCAACAAAGATGCTGTTTTCTAAACATCTAAGAATGTGTAATCAGCATCCGTGTTTTTGTCAACATCAAAGAAGTCTTTCATTTTTAATCCGCCGACAGCACTTAGTTGTGTTTTTATTTTATTTTATTTTATTTTATGAAAGAGTTGAGTCATACAAAGTCAAGTCCCGAGTTTTGACTGAACCTAACGAAGCTGCTGCACACGCTCCAATACTTGCCGGAGTTCAATCTCGGTAATGTGAATCACTCAGGAGCCATCAGTCGGAAAAATGAGCCAAAAACAAGCACCGCCGTGGAAACTTGTCAAAGGAGGCCATTTTTAACCAAGCTTTGGAAATTTCCGCCATCATCGTCGTTGTCATCATCATCATCATTACCGAGGAGGCCAGTAACGTAATGAATGGAGTCATTAGAGGCTCCGCTGCTCAAAATGAATTAAAACCACACAGGGACGAGATTTCTGCGAAGTTTAGGAAGATTTTATCGGCGAGCTCTTAGCCCAGTAAAAGTTGAGACCTGGACTACATGCCACAAGGACAATAAAAAAACTGAAAATAAAAACACTTGGCCAACAAGCCCTTCCTTCACAAAGCTGATGTGACATTTGTTTTGTTTTTTTCCATCGCAAGCCTTACGAAACTTCGAAGAGAATAAAAGCTTCAATGAAGCTAGCTTTTCGCTAACGTCAAAGACACTGATGCCACGTTTTTGTCAACAACAAAGTCAATTAATTGAGAGCTGCAAAATGCGTTCTCCTAAACTTGAACCATTTAGTCTTCCATTTTTTTTTTTTTTTTACAACATAATTTATATCTTTGTAAAAATTTACAAGATTGCAGTCTTTGATGAACCCATCCCGTGTTTTTGGGAAACATCAAAGACAATTTAGTCTTCCACTTTTTCGACGTTTTGGAAACATTGAAGAAAACGTCACTGATTTCCTCGAACATCTCCACTTTTGTTCGTCATCGACAAAACGAGCGGACGTGCATCAAAGAACCCAAATGTTCTTTTTCTCAACGTCGCAACCTTTGATGAAAATACCGTGTGCATTTCCCGAAATATCAAAGACGGATCAGAGTCAAAGAACGTGCCTCCTCCTTCTTTCAAAAACGGAGTTTATGATGAAGAAGCTATTTGGTCCCATATCAAAGACACTTACTTTGAGCACGTGGACGTCGGCCGAGCTGCAGCTGAGCGAGTCGTCCACTTCCCTCACCTGGCCGTCTGTCCCCACCGTCACCAGCTTAACGGGCAGAGACACCCGGCGACCAGTCAGGATGGCCGTGTTCAACACCTCCGTGTCCTATCCCACACACACACACACACACACACACACACACACACACACGCATTATGTTACAAACTATGACGAGACATTGCTCCTTGCGTGTGTCGTCATTCTGCGCTCTTGCTCCATTTTTTTCAGGTGACTCGAACCGAGCTTGCAAATTGAATACTCAGAATTTCCTAGCAGTCGCTTGTTAAGTCAAAGCACGTTCGTTCGATGGCCCAGACTCGAACTAAGCTGCAACAAACGATTTTTCATCGAAAAAATATTTTTCAACATCAGGCAATTATTGTGTCGTCGGTGATGAATCGGTTTCTTCAAAACGTGGCATTATTTCAAATCAACAGTGGAGAAAAGGTACAAATATAAAGAGCTAATGTGTTCTGTGACTGATTTCATAGACATACATGTCATGAAATCAGCAAAAATGTTGCAGGTTGCTTTCCAAAGTAAAAGCAGATGTTTGCAAAGGCCTTATTTTGAAAAACACCACATCCAGTATTCAGTCTGTTCTGAACGGGTTTATTTGACTCATTCTGAGGATTTGGATCATTTGACATGAAGCAACGTCCCGACAAATGAATTGATGATCAAAATAGCTTTCAATTCATTTCATGATTGATTAGCTGTCGATGAATCGGTTGGCGGATCCATCGCTAGACCTCAGGCACATGTTTTGCTCAACACGAGAGGACCAAACGCTGATGATTATAATCAGAGCGCTGGAGTGCGATTAGACGCTTGCCGACCTGCCGGCGTCCATCTCGATTAGACGCCGGCACTCTTTCAAAAGGGGGCATTTATCCACACACAAACACACACGCACGCACTCATGATTATGGGTTATTGTTTGTCGATGGCAGCTTTGTGAGTGTTATTAGACCCGCCAGGGCAACTCAGCCACCATAAATAACCATAAAAATACAGAAAATGAACTGCACTGCTTCCACAAAACAGTCCTGCTTCGTTTTAGAGGGTTAGCGGTGCGGCATAACTTAGCATAGCTTAGCATGGTAGTGCAGAGCGTCGCATAGCATTGCAGATGATGTATTTGTTAACATTATTTCGAACATTTTTTTGTGTGTGTGTGTGTGTGTGTATACATCACTAACCATTTAACGCTGAAAAAAAAAACTATATCTTTAAAGACCCGAGTGTCCGTTTGTTGTGACGTCAATACCAACGCAAAGACCCCAAAATGTGTGCTTTTGGACACATCAAAGATCATCTAGTCATTTCAAGACCCCAAAGTACACATTTTAATCCTGTGGAAAAACAACGGCGAGTGCGAAATGTTTGGCGCGCGAGAAGCAGGTGAGGAACAGGTGAGGAGGAGGCGGCCAGGAGAGAATAAAGAGGATTAAAAGCATGACAAAGACAATTAAAAGAGAAGGTTTTTTTTGGGGGAGGGTGCGGGGGGAGCATCCAGTACCGAAAGAAGATATCAAGGAAAAGGTTCTGCCTGCAGGCTGAGTGGGAAGAGAGATGTTTACCCGCCGTGCATGCATCATGTGATGAAATGTGTCGATAAGATCACATCCGCATTGTCGCTATCTTGACTGCGGGCTGCAAGTGCACCGTGATGTCACCCAGTGGCTACTCAAGGCGTCGGTTCTCGTTGTTGTTGTTGTTGTTGTTGTGTCCCCAGACACACTGATGCACCAGATTAGCAACACACACGATCATTGCGTCGTTGACAAGCATCGCCGGTTGAGATCTTTTTTTTCCCTTTTTCTCTAGGAAAATGTAAATGTCTCAAATGTATTCAGGTGCATGCGTGTACGCACTTGAGTGAGTCTGAGAAAGACAGCGCACACAACCATTAGCATGCCTGCGCGCCTGTGCGTGCGTGTGTGTGTGTGTGTGTGTGTGTGTGTGTGTGTGTGTGTGTGTGTGTGTGTGTGTGTGTGTGTGTGTGTGTGTGTGTGTGCTGAGAAAAGTGACTGTTGAAGGTAGCAATCTAAACTCATTTGGTCCCAATTAAAAGACTGTCAAAGTCTTGTTAAGTATACAAACTTGAATTTGAATTTCAAGTAATTATGGTTCTATTGACTGCGGAATAAGTTGTACAAACAAAGTTTCAACGGAGAAAGAATAATACCCAATTTAAATTATGGTGGTTATTTAAAAAGCAAGCTAAATGATAGTGATGGGAAAATGAAGCTTCAAATTTGCTTCATGAACCAGTTGTATATTTTTTTTACTCCTCTTGATGGCACTGTTGCTTTAAATAAGGGGGTTTAGAAATGGCAGTGTGCTTTCAGCCCAATGTGCCATCTTAGAGGAGTCAAAGAAGTGTTAAGCTTTTTTGATTATTTTTGCTAACCCCGGGTGCTGTTTGCAACTGTTCAGAATTCCCCCAGTTGCCGATCACAATATAATTCACAACAGGATTGAGCTCGTTTTTTTTTAATTATTAAAAACAAAAAAAACTGGCAATTGACTAGGGGTGTGTCGACTTTTACATCCATGAAAATGTATCTGCTAGGTCTTCCAGTAGCCCACATAAAAAGCAACCTCTTAAATGTTGTTTTATCACACAACTGTGAGACCGTCTCACGGCCTTTTATCCCGTCGATTCGTTCGCGTGATTTACCGTCCACTTGCCGTGCGCGCTCGCTCGCTCTCGCTCCTCCTCTCTCATTTTTGCCGCTCACACCAGTCGAGATGCTCGTAAAAAGGACAATAATAAGAATCAAATCAAAAGTGCTTTAATTTGTGCGCGGCCATGCGGAGAGATGTGAAGCCATCTGAAACATATGGCGACTCACGCCTCCTCCCTCCTTGTGGGGACGTGTGTGTGTGTGTTTGTTGTTTACGGCGTGACATGGCATTAATAAGCAGTAAAGTCAGCGGAGGTGCACGCGCGTGCAAATCTGATGTGCAGCTTGTTAAAGGACCAATTGCAATTTTTTTTTATGAGCACGGAAATGTTGAGACATCAAACGTGTGATTCATGGGCGGCCGAGCGTGCACGCTTGGCAGTCGCTTCATTAGGTACACCAGGACGAAACCCGTGACCACGATTGTTTTTTTTCGTTGTAGTACAATTCACTGCAAGTGCACGGCGGCGTACTAAGATCATTTGACACTGTGCAGAAGGTAGCCAATGGGAACGGAGCATTGCCATGGTCCTGGGCGCACCGCCCTCGTGGTGGATTGAGTCACATTTGGGTTGGAAAATAACACAAATGAATTGACAAGAAATAAAACCACCATCATCATCCTCATCAGTAGCACAGTGAGCTAACTTGTCATGCGAAAGACGCAAATTAGCATTCCGGTGACCGTAATTCAAATCCTCGAAAGAAGTGCTGCTTTGTGCGCACAAGGAAAACACAAAACTTGAACCCGGCTGCCCACCCATCGCCCAATATTCCCATTTTACACGATGACTTTGTTGTATCTTTCAGCGACCAAGCAGGAAAACGCCAGAAAAACGGTGTGCGATCTGTCAGGGATAAATGCCTATTATCACGACGACAATGTTCATTACCATCAGATTATTAAGCCTCAGGCTTGTTGAGTTGGCGGCGGCGGTGTGTGTGTGTGTGTGTGTGTGTGTGTGTGTGTGTGCGCTGTCATCAAGTGTGTTGTTGGACAGAGTAATTACTTGGAGCAAACAGTGACACGCTGCTTGCTTGTGATCTGTCAGACCCCAAAATGAATCACCACCACTCGGACAAAACTAACGGGACATTTTTTAAGCCCAAAAGAACGGGCGGTGTCCGCAAACTTTTGTCCTGAATGTCAATCGTGTTGCTCGTGCAAGAAGCTAGCGAAACAGTCTTTGCTTTGCGCTCCCTTTGGTCAAAGAGGACATCGGGAATTTATACGCCCAAAGCCCAAGATCATCCGCTTTTTGCAAGGAGTGGGACTGAGACAGAATGACATTGCAACATTTGCGAGGTCACTTTTGTTTGAAGCGCGGCAAAGAAGCACGAACGAGTTAGACGACGTTGAATAAATAAAAGATGGCCGACAAGAACAGCATTCATTCCTTCCCTCTCAGACCCTGTGGGACGCTTGGGCTTTTACTTTTAGCGGCGGGGAGCGAGCGAGGACGCATAATGGCGGCGGTCGGAGACATGATAGACCATTATTACTGATGTGCTAAAACACTAGCAGATCCTTTCCCGACCTCCCTTGGCTTTGATGTAGCGTAGACCCCCCTGTAACCCCCCCTACCAGCCCCCTGCTAACAAGCTAACAAGTAGGCTGCTCTTTACCTTGTTTTAGCTTCAGCCACTCAGAGGCACATCCTGACCATTCCCTGTGGGGGAAGTTATTTTCAAACCCGTACGAATCGCACGAACATATCAACGGACCGATGGAAAGACAAACTGACCAACCGATCGACTGATAAACAACATGATCAGGAGACAGACGGACGGACTGACCGAGGGAACTGAGGACACTATTTGTTGAGACTCGGTTGGTGGAATACTTTCCCATTCTTTCTCAATGTTGTTCACCAATCCGGGGGTCTCCGTTGTCATATTTTACGCTTTAGATTTTTACGCACTGTACCTTCATTGTCATGTGAAGTCTTATCACATTTTGTTTGTCACATTTGAACAATAACAAAACAAACAAAAACAAATGGGAGGGGAAAAACATGAGATTTACGTTTCTGATTGTTTTGGAGTGCAGGCTGCAGTGGTGTTTTTGTCTGTCTGGTGTGTTGCAACGGCAGATGCCCCACCACGCCAAATTGGCTTTTCTCACCGGGGTTTTGCTGTCTGAAGGAGGGGCTATCAGGCCAGATTAGCTTGCCGCTAATGGAAGCGAGAGAGCTTTCAAAAGCATCTGCAGCAGCTGGATGCCCCATTTCTTTCTTTTGTTTTTTTTTTACCTCTCGGTGACGATTTTTTGCTTTGGGCAAACGGGAAAGGTCCCTTTTAATCCACGAAAATGTAAGGATTCATTTCATATGATTACAAATGTCAGTTCTTCGCGTTTGTTGAAACACTATTGCAAGATATGAAAGAAGAAGGGGATAAACTATGTACAGAAGAAGAAAGAATGGCTTGCTCTATCATAAAGTGAGCCAGGTATGGAAAAAGAAAATGAAAAGTAGACCATCTGGCGACGTACAGAAAAAGAAGGAATGATTCAGGTGTAGAAGATGAGGAGAATAGGTGAAGAAGATCGATTCAGTCGGTATAGAAGAGGAAGAGGAGGACAAAGGAGTAGGTTTGGAAGATTAACAACCAGGTAGATAAAGAAGGGAAGTTGACCTGCGCGAGCGGTACGATGCCCTGGATGTCGGCGTTGCTGACGTAGAGGTGCGAGACTCTCTCGGCGGAGGCCGGCGCTCCCGACGCGTATTCCACGCTCCAGTGCAAAGTTTGGGTGGGAGCCAAGGTGATCACGTTGTCCACCTCGAAGTCCAACTGCATCACCTCGTAAGACGGACTCTCCAACCTGGGGGAGGGAAAATGATACGGTGCGATTAGCTATTATCAGCAACCAGGAACCTGCCTGTTAACTAAAATAAACGCTTGTTTTGTTTTGTTTTTTGTCAGGAGTTTTATTTCTTGCATTTTATTTTGCATGCCTCCTGCCCAAGATGATAAAACAAAACAACACATTCGAATTGCAGGATCCCGAGAAACAGGAAGTAACCTCCTAACATACGTATAAATCCACAAAAAAAATGTTTGTGGGGGATTTATTTTGTTGTTTAGATAACCTTAGACATGTCCGAATTGTCAAAGAACAACAATAATAACAATATTGATCAAAAAAGTACACTCCGTTCTCCTCAGTCAACCAGGAAGTAACCTGCTAGCTAAAATACAAGCTAGCAAAGCGTTTTACAATTGAACATACAAACGAAATTACAGTATTGTGCAATATTTATTTTCCCTTTTTTCTCATTTCAGTAACAATAACTTCCCAACAATCAAAAACGATACATTCCTGTGCATCTTATGTCATCCTCCAAGTCGTCTCCTGCTAACATGCGCACCAAGCCAAGTGCAATTTTCCCCACCTTTTAACACGTTTTAGACATCTCGATAAGACTTTAATCAACTTTTTTTTTTTCTACTTGTGTCATTAAAATTAAGGAGAGAAAATAAAGAGCGTAAACTCTTTCATTGATTGGTTCTCGCAGCTGCGCCTCAGTGCTCCGCAGCCTCAAGTCAAGTCAGCTTATTCAGAAAATGACAAGAAAATTGATGAAAACACAGCTGGATATCCATATAGCGTGTGAGTGCGTGTGTGCGCGCACGTGGGCATGGCAGGGGCAGGAGTAGGAGTCAAATAACTTAACGGCACATTTGAGCAGCGTCATAAGCGTAATCACGGCCTTTATTGTTATATTGCTAGCAAAAAAAAAACAAGCGGGATTGAAATGCTCCGCTTTAACTGTGACTTTATGTATCAGTTTAAAAAAAAAGTTGAAAAAAGAAAGATGGTTACAATCTGTCCCTGTCATTTCCACGCATAAGAAAAGCTAAAAGGAGAGGCAGCGTGTTAAACGCGCGTCTGCGGGGGAGGTGTAATCGCTGGTGCGGAAAAAGCAATGTGTCCACACTGACAGCTGCATCCAGGTGTTCGCCATGTCTACAAAACAACACTTTTACAACAAAAACAAAACAAAAACGAAATGAAATCTTTCAAGGGAACACAGCTTGGCACACTGCTGTTTGCGTAGCATAATTAGCTTGCAGTTACAAGCAGCGAGTGTCGTACTCAGTTGCTAGCATAACATTGCTAGCTCACAGTTGGACATACGATCATGAGCACAAAGTAAAGGACAAATGTCCCTCATTGTATTGCAGTTCGCTTAATACATTGTGCACATCACTGATTTATAATTTTTTTGTTGCTCAACTGCCCATCTCTGGCAAAAGAAATGTTATCTTACTAAATGTAGCCTAGTTTTGAAAAAAAAAAATTGACATCCATAACAGGTGATGTGGAGGTTAGAAAAAAACTGCAGGTGCTCTTTTAATAGTTTTATGAAACAAAATGTAAAATATTGCACGCAGTAGTCAACGTCACATTACATCGAGCACAGCTTGACCAGCTAACATGCAATGGTTAGCTTAGCATTGGTTAGCTACACAACAGCCGGTTTTTCGAAGCTTATTATTCAAAAAAATAAATAAATAAAAATTGTGCCCATGAATGATGATCACTTTTGATTGACAGCTCTGACGGCAGATGACAATTTACATTTTAATGCCTTTAATTTACGTTTCCATCTCCATTACAACAAAAGTGGCAGACAATATTTTTTATATTTATATATTTATATGTCCATTAGCACAAATTAATTTTACGGCTCACATTTATCGAGACAATTTGCATTGATGATTAGGACCACCCCCCCCCCATCCCCCCCAGTGATCAGATGGCAGAAATACAAGTGTTGCTTTTTAAATGATATTATCATCATAATTAGCAAAAGGAGCTGACGGCATTTTTAAAATGTTAATTTTAATAGCTTTTCAGCATTCCCATCACTTCTTTAATGACATACCAATAATTAAAAACTGAGAAAATGGACTTGCAGAGGAAAGCGCTTGCTATAAAAAAAAAAAAAAAAAAAACTAAATACAATCTCCCAGATTTATGAGCATTTAATTCGCATCAACACTTAAGTTATATGTATTGTTGCTATTGTAAAACATAAATTCTACAACTTTGGCTAATACGACATACCCAGAAACTGAAGAAAACTAATTTGCCACTACTTGGCAAATAAATACAGAAATAAAAATGTAACTTTGGCAATAACTAAAACATCAATGAAAAAAAGAAAGTAAAAATAAATTGTCAAGTAACGTGTGAAAAAAATGAATCAATAATACATAAATAAATACAAATGCACAATTATCTTGGTCAAAATAAGACAAATACAATTAAAAATTGAAATTTGACACAAAAAAAAAAACACGTACAAAAAGAAATCAATGAAGCTGGAAAAGGTAAGAAAAAACTTGAAACAAAATTGCCTAGCAGATATTTCAAATGAATAAATATGAACGTGGCAAGCAAATAATTTCTTTTAAATGGCCACGTTAAAAAAACTGATTTAAAACCTGTCACTAATCCCTACAAACTGAGATACACACATACACACAATTTTTGGGAGGAGGAGTTGGAAGCAAGGACCAGTCCACCTACCTGTCTCGCACAGGCACGCACGCACACACACACACACACACACACACACACACACACACACACACACACACACGGGGCTGTCAGAAGTGTGTTTGTGACATGAACAAGAAAAGACGGTAAAATGACATCAGGCAGAACCACAAGTCGACAGCACTGTCGCACAACAGTGTGTGTGCGCATGTGTGTGTGTTTGTGTGTGTGTGTGTTTTTATGCGCGACATAGCTGGTCACAGCCATGCCGTGCCTCCTGTCAGTTTGTGCTAACACAAGCGTGTCAGAGTGAAAGGACGCGCGCACACAAACACACACACACACCATGTTGCGCATTCTGTAACACAACTGAGTGGCTGACACATGCTGTGTTGAGTTACGTGTGTGCGTGCGTGTGTGTGTGTGTGTGTGTGTGTGTGTGTGTGTGTGTGTGTGTGTGTGTGAGAGAGAGAGACCGAGAGAGAGATATGTTACACACACAGCGGAGGTGTCACAGCAGCCGCTTTACATGGAAATGAAGTCAGCATGTATGTAAAATATATACGCGCATATATTACACTGTGTGTGTGTGTGTGTGTGTGTGTGTGTGTGTGTGTGTGTGTGTGTGTGTGTGTGTCCAAGCTGTCAGTCAGCTTGCACGTAAAGGACAGTGTGGACATTGGAGGAATGATCTTGCAGAAGAGAAAGGACATGCACCCACGCGGATGCACATGCACGAGCGCACTAGAAAATCAGTAGAAGACCTCCGCCAAGGTGGCACCGGTAACAGAAGTACATGACCCTGTGCTCTAATGACTTAAAAACAAAAAAACAAAACGAAGCAATTAGCAAACTATCTACTGTCGCTCATCACCCAACCAACTATCTATCTATTTAATCAATAAACCTAGCCAACATGATGACTACCTTCTTATCTACCTAATCAACTAAACTTCTAGCAAACAGATGGATTCAGCAACTAGCCACCGATATCTACTTACCAACCAACTAAGCAACCAACCCACTAATCAAGTAACATATTAAACAACGGACTTAGCGACCAAGTCAACCAACTCGCTAATTGACGAGCCAATGATCTACCTATGTTCAACCTACCCCGTACTCACCTCCAAAGCAACTAACACAGGCTACTAACCTGTTTGCCACCTAACCTGCCGACTGAGAACGCTAACTGCCAATCTACTAGTGCAGCAACTAACTGCCTACCTACCTCATCAACTAATGTGCTAAACAACTAACTGGTTAGCTGGGTCCCTGCCTGTCTGCTACCTACCTCATCAACGAACGTACTAAAAACTTAGCCGCCTCCCTACCTCCTTCAGCTTATGTACCAAACGATTAGCCACCTACCAACCTGCCCGCCAACTAACACCCAAACTAACAAATAGACTAAGAAGCTAGTCACCTAGCTAACCACTTACCGAACTCAACCATGAGCTAATAAAAATACAAACTACCTACCGACAACCTACAGACTTAATCATCTACGAACCAACTAATATGCTAAGCAGCTAGCCACCGAAAGACGTGTTGTCCTTGTTGTGCTCCATCGTGATTGCCGGCCTCCAATTTCTCCTCTTGTGTTGTTGTAGCCCACGAGAGGACGAGCGAGTAAATGTAGTAGTGGGAGAGATCCACCATCACCATCTTATTGCACATCACACATGCTACGACATGCGCCCCCCCCCCAACCCGCAGAGACCCCCAAGCGGGCACAGGTTGTCTCCTTGCATCACCCAGCCTATGGAGAAGCACCCCCCACCACCTCCACCCTCGTACACGTTAGCAAGTGTGACACACACTTAAACAAGCACCCCCCCACACACACACTCCCCCCCGCACATGCAACATGTAAATGCTTTTAGGGGGAGGCCGCCTCGTGCGTGTGCATGCATCAAACATCTCCCACTGCGAGTTGTTTTTTCTTTATTTTTCTTTAAATGCAGCCGAAAGCTTTCACGAGCGCGGCGGGGTGCCGGCATAGCAAAGATGAAATTGTTGAAGGGGGTGAAAAAAAAAAAAAAAAAAGCTGAGAAACAATGGCAGGAGATGGTGAAATTGTTAAAATGTGCTGGTTTACTTGTTAGGATTTCAAACGGGGAGCAGAAAGGAAAGTTTTGCTCCAATGATGACGCCATTTTTGTGCCCCCAAAAAACTTGATCTATAGACAGATAGAAGCACAGAAAATTAACATTTTTGGTGGGGCAGGGGACTTTTTATTTATTTTTCTCATTGGGACTTTTCTTGTTTTAAAATGCCATTTTTCTTGAACAAAATCGAATCGCAAAATCAAACTTTGTGGAGAGTCGCCTCATCTACTGGCCCAACATCATCAAGACAAACTTGATGCTATTTTGCTACAGGATGAGATTTTCGAGGTGTCATCTCAGCGAGCCATTTTTCCACCTTGGGCCGCTCGCGACGTTT